TTTCTTTCTTTCTTTCTTTCTTCTTTCTTTCTTTTTCTTTCTTTCTTTCTTTCTTTCTTTCTTTCTTTCTTTCTTTCTTCTTTCTTTCTCTCTCTCTCTCTCTCTCTCTCTCTCTCTCTCTCTCTCTCTCTCTCTCTCTCCAGACATAAGATGAATTAATTCCCTGCTGTGAATTAATACCTGTGGTGTAAACTGTAAAGGGATTCCCAGAACAAGCACGAGCAATTGTATTTTATCACTTTTATTTTCAAATGCTCCTCCATCTTGCAGTTTGGAACAAGGTAAAGAGGATGACAAGGACAGAAGAGGAGGGGAGGTTTGCTAAAGATGATGTCTCTTGCTTAAAGACATCTTTTGGAATTGATCAAATTGTCTGGGTCATCATCGAGTCACAGGTTAGATGCCCCACCAAACCATCTCCAGATGTTTGGACTAACTGCATCTCCTATAAGCTGAAAAAAGTGGCAAGGGAGGCCAGACATGAAGAGGGAGGGGTGGCTGGTTGGCTGGGGAATTATGGGAGTTGAAATCCACGGTCTTACAGTTGCCAAGGTTGGACACCTCTGTGTTAAAAGCCTTGGCTCAGCCGCTCCATTAGAAATGAATTGTTAGGATGCTTGTAGGCCAGTCCCTCTCTCTCTCTCAGCCCCAGGGAAAAAGGCAATGAGAAACCATTTCTGAAAACCACATGGACTCATAGTCTTCAGGAGGCACGTGACTTAGTGGACCATAACAAGAAGAAGTCTATTTTTAAGACAAATACTTCAGTTACTGGGGCAGTTCCTGCCAGAACTGGCAAGAAATTACAACGCCAACCAACAATAATCATGGACAGATTTGTTTGAGGAATATAAAATAAGGTACTGAAAAGATCCTGGTGATCCTCCTCCGTTGCAGAGGTTCTCAGCTTCTCTTGAGGCTTCATGCCTACCATCAAACCTGCAGACCCTGCAGACTGAACTTCTCATTTGGGGGAGGGGAAAAAATCTTGTTTCAAACTTACCTGCTATCTGAATCAGAAGCGATCTCTTTCCTTCCTCCAAACCGGATCTGGCACTGCAAGACGAAGTCTGTGTGTTAGCAACAAAGCTGGCTGGGATAAACTTCCATGTACTCAACAGTTTGCACAAACACGCAATTTTAAACATCAGGTTTCTTTTTTAAAAAAAAAAAAACAAGAAGGGAAGGAAGCGTGAGATGCTGTGAAGCTGTGAAGGGTGAGAATTGGACACAAGGCCCCCCCCCCCCCCCCCCAGTGTCATCGTAACTTCAAACAGGTAAACATTCAATTTCTCACCTGTTTAACTGCATCCAGTAAGCGCTCAAGTAAAAACTGTCTTCGGGCAGCACTGTTCTGCAGCCCTAAAATTCAAGAACACACGTGTTACGATATATTGAATATCCTTTCCATTTCCAATTAGGTGAGAATGAATGAAACATGACTTTGCAAAACCAGGGGTTTTTTTTTTCTTCCTCTTCTCCAAGACAATCCCAGTTCTTTGGAAGCTAATTGAACTATTTCTACAAACAGATACACAGAGAGAGAGAGAGAGAGACAGAGAAAAAGAGGGAGGGGGGAGGGACAGAGAGGGAGAGGGAAAGAGAGAGACAGAAAGGAAGGGAGGGACAGAGAGGCAGAGAGGCAGAGAGAGAGGGAGGGGGAGGGAGGGAGAGAGGGAGGGAGAGGGAGGAAGAGGAAGAGGAAAGTGCAGAAGTGCTGCCCGGGATGTGAGGATTTTCCTCACTCTTCTAAGGCAGCAAGCCCTAGCGAGGTCATCTAGTGGTATCAGGGAACAGCCCACAATGTCTTGTGGTATGCTCACCACTCTCTGTAGTGTCTTTCTATCCACGGCTGTCAAGCCAGCACACCACACTGTCATGAGAGGACGTCAATAAGTCAAGGACTACCTGTACCATCCAACCAGAACAGATAGAAATGGCATGCTCCTGGTTCCTTCCTCTAAAAACTGCCATCTGGTGGGAGCTACGAAGCTTCCTTTTTGCATGGCAGCCCCTACCCCATGGGACACCCACTTTAAGACTGCCAGGCCTCGACCTTCCTAATCATCTGTAAAGCTTTGAAGATCTCCCTCTGCCTCCAAGTGCTTGAACCAAAGGCTAGATGACAGAGCCACGTTTTTGTTATTTTAAATGCGCTTCATTTTTATTATATTATAATAGCCTTATTATGGCTTTTATGTTGTTTTCAGTTTTGATTAGGAGCCACTCAGAGTTGGTTATAAGATGGGCAACTGGATAAATGTTTTAAACCAACAAACACTAAAAACTTATCACACTTCCCTCCACCCCACCCAAGGGCCAATCAAATAGAGATGGAGAATATGTTTCCAGTTCCAAAGAGCCAAGCATGAAACTCTCCATTTTGGGTTCCAATCAGTTGCTTTTGTTTTCAAACAGGCTTTTGTTGGGCGGTTCACAAATCTACCAAAGGAATCCTATTTTAAAAGAAGTTTTCTGATCAACACAACATCAGGGTTCCAATCTGAAACAGGAATTTCAAGCACAAAACACGAGGCTATTTTGAGCTTGGAAACTTTTCTGGAATTGTCAGAAGTGTGTCGTAATTCTTCCCGTAAGGTTAGAACGCTGTTTTCAATTTGAAAAAGCACACACTAAAAGCTCCAAACGGGGTGCTTCAAATTCAAAATATTTGGTACATCATTATTAGTTAGAGATCTGTGGGAAGCGCAAAAAAATTATATACAGGCAAAATGTATACCAACGTCTTCACATTTAAGTGTCTCAAAATTAATCTACAGGGTTTTCAAGTAGGACAAGAAAGATTGTGAACCGAAAACCTAATCAGCACTTATGGAGACTGTTATTAATGGCCGAATAATCAGAAACATCCATTCTGTTCCATAGCGCCAGTTAGCTGAATTGCTAATCTTGCATTCTGTCACACTTGTATGATTTCTGAGAACTACAGATTCCAACTTTGGACTTCTGGTCAGACCTGATTTCTGTATAAGTTACCAATTATTCCTTAACTATTTCAAGGAAGCAGAGGGGTAGGAGGAAGGAAAGACAAAACAGCTCATTTCTGATATCACAATTGCTGTCTTGCTACGTCTACCACTTTTCATCCTTACTCAGCTGCTGTGCCTTTTATTCCTAAATGCCAAACAAGCCTCAACACATCAACAATTCAGTTAGAGTACATTGGATGACTCTACGCAAAGTACAGGTATCAAATTGCTGTGTTTAGATGAGTTGTCTCTGCTCCAGAGTACATGACTCGCAAAATTATATTAGGAATAATATCTCCATTTTGCCAAAAGCCCTTGGTTCCCATGATATTCTCTTCTTGATATGGGGTAAAAAGGAAAAAAGAAATTAAGGCTGTTTGCCAACAGATTGTAATTTTCAATATAACAGAAGGGAGGAGGATTAAACACATGAAGTGTTCAATTAAGAGCATCTTCTAAGCCACTGCTTCTCAGTTGGTGCTATGGATACCACAGTGAAATTCTGATATATTCTCAATGGAACCTAGGAGAAAAGTCACTTAAACTGTAATGTAATAACAGCATGCCTGCAAACCAAAGTCTTTCTTTAAAAATGTGAGATTTTTTTATTATTATGCTGGGATCCACATATTTTCCTAAAGTAACAGATGGAATTCATCTCTGGCAGTCCATTTACAAAAGGAGTTAAAGGGTATTTGAAACTATAGTATCCATTTACTCATACAAGGCAGTTTGCTTACTAAGCAACATTAAGCAAACAATGTAAAAATATCAAATCAGCATGAGAAACAAAGTTACTCAAATACAACAACACACACACAAAATGCTGTTGATCCTTTCCACCAGATTTCCTCAAGAGGTAAACAAATATTTAAAGTAACTGTAGTGAAAAGTGAAGCTATCAAAAGTGACTGAATGCATCTGTGAGTGTGCAAATAAATGAATCTGTATTTTCTGTCTGAGTGCACACATGTCTTAACAGCAGAAAAGATTACTTTTGCACAATATTGGAAAAATGAAGAAATACTGCAAGATGAAGAGATAATTAAGAAGATATTATTAGATTGTGCACAAATGGGTAGACTTATATTGAAAATCAAGCAGAAAGAAGACACAGAATATTATCAAACATGGAACTTATTTTACCAATGTTTGGGAAAAAGGGCTTGGAGAGTAAGAAGGGAATTTGTATTGTTAAGCAAATTAAATTCCCTGACAACACAGTGTTTATTAAGCACTAAGAAATGTAATCAATAGAAAATTAATTAAAAAAAATTTTTTTTAAAAAAATGTTGATCCTTTCTACCAGATTCCCTCACCAAGAGGTAAACAAATATTTAAAGTAGCTGAAGTGAAAAGTGAAGCTATCAAAAGTGGTGAATGCATTTGTGAGTGTGCAAATAAATGAATCTGGATTTTCTGCCTGAGTGCACGCTTTATGGTTCCATTAAAAAAAAAAAAACCCCGCTTGAGCAATTCTATTGTCAAGTAACTACACATCCGGACATCCACCACCAACATCCACCAGGCAATTGCAACCAGGAGTATAAAAGAGGGCAGTTGCAAACCATCATGTCATTTCACTCTGAAAAACTGACTCACGGCCAGTTCAGACAGCAAGTTGAAGTTTTAACCAAAGGCTTAACTTATACATTTTGTTTCCACTTTCACAATCGAAGCAAAACAAGTACAGCTCTGGGAAAGTGCAGAAGAAGTAAAAAGAAATAAGATAAATAGGAGGATATCTATGGAGATTGTCAATCATCCAGGTCATGGTTGTCCCAAAGTTGCTTTTTCAAAAGGCAGTTGGACTTTCTTGGGTTCTTATTTTCCTTGAAGATGTTTCGCTTCTCCTCCAAGAAGTTTCTTCAGTTCCGAAGAACTGAATTAAACAGAACTGAAGAAACTTCTTGGAGGGGAAGCCAAACCACTTCAAGGGGAGAAGAAAAAAAGACCAAGAAAGTCTAGTTATTCTTTTGGAAAAGCACCTTTGGGAGAAATAGGAAGTCGCCCCTGAGCAAGTAAAGAGTGGCCAGAACCATATGGACACCTTAAGAAAATTGACAGACTCTCGGCAAAGTCAGAGTGCTTAAAGCTTCATTAATCCCTTAAGAAAAGTGGCAGAGTGCCTCTGAGGGGATACAGAGTGCCCAGAGCCACATCATCCTCTTAAAAAAAATGGTAAAAGGCAAAAGATTTGTATGATTAGAAGAGAAAGCGCAGTATATAATGGCAGAGAGAGAGAGAGAGACTCTGAATTGGGACAAAGGGGCCGGAGTTTCCTCAAGCCCTTAAGAAAACTGGCAAAGCCTCTGAGCGGGTGCAGAGTGCCCAGAAACTCAACTCCTCGGGCAAACTAGAAGAATGCCTCTGAGCAGGCGCAGAGTGCCCAGGGCCACATCAACTCCTTAATAGCATTGGCAGACACCCTCTGAGCGGCTACAGAGTGCCCGAAACCTCCTCAACCCCTGCAGAAAACTGCCTCTGAGCACGCCAAGAGTGCCCAGAATCTCAACTACTTAAGGAAAACAAACCAGAAGGCCTCTGAGCAGGTACAGAGTGCCCAAGAGCCCCGTCAAACCCCCTGAAAAAGAAAATTTGGCAAGAGAGCCTCCTGAGCGGGTACAGAGCGCTTCCTGCGACCCCCCCCCCGCCCCCCCCCCCCCCCCGCAACAGCAATGCCCGTCACCCCGCAAAGCAGGAAAAGAGCCTCTGAGAGAGTGCAGAGCGCCCTTGCCCATGGGAAGAGCGAGCGAAGCAAGAAGCAAAAGCGAGTGGGGGGCGGTGGGGGGCAAGGCAGGGTGCCTCTGAGCATACGCCAAGCGCCGGGAAGCTTTCGAGGGAATTTCACGGGTCAGCGGTGCTTTTGACAGCTCAGCGGGGAAGCCCCGACCGCAGAAGGGATGGAAGGCTAACCATGGGCAAGGGTGCCCCTGGGCATATGCAGAGCGCCTCCTCCTCCTCCCTCCCCTCCCCATCATCCTCGGCACGAGCCAGAGGCGGGACCCCCAAAATCCCCGCTCCCCGGCAGCCCCACTCACCGCTCATGGTGCTCGCGAAGCCGGAGCAACTCTCCCCCCCCCCCCCCCCCAACAGGACTCCTGAGAGCAGGGCGGCAGCCTCCGCCGCCGGAAGTGACCCTCCGCCCCGGAAGCAAAATACGGGGAACCCGGAAGGGTCCTGCATAAAGGGTGGGTGGGTGTGGGTGTGTTTATCGTGGTCGCGGAGGATGGTGGGGGGGGAACCCAGAGAAAGGAGCCCCCACCCACCTGGGGGAAGGCCAGGGTGAATAAGAGAACAACAAAGCTGGAAGGGACCTTAAAGGGCCTTGTCTGAAAGAGTATAGGGCAGGGGTCTCCACCCTTGGCAACTTTTTAAGACTTGTGGACTTCAGCTCCCAGAATTGAAGTCCACAAGTCTTAAAGTTGCCAAGGTTGGAGACCCCTGGTACAGGGTGTCCTGCCCGAGCAGGGGGCTGGACTAGAAGACCTCTAGGGCGCCTTGCAGCTCATGCTATTCTATGCTATGCCAGGCTATCTCCATTCAGTTCTCTATTTTGTCACTTTTCCTATTCCTATTCCTATTCCCATTCCAATAGAATAGAATAGAATAGAATAGAATAGAATAGAATAGAATAGAATAGAATAGAATAGAA